TGTCCTTTGTGGATTTCTGCTACTCCTCCATCATTGTGCCTAAAATGCTGGCTAACATCTTCAATAAGGACAAAGCCATATCATTCCTGGCATGTATGGTCCAATTCTACCTGTTTTGCACATGTGTGGTCACTGAAGTCTTCCTGCTGGCTGTGATGGCCTATGACCGCTTTGTAGCCATCTGTAATCCACTACTATATATGGCTATGATGTCCTCAGATCTCCGTATGGTACTGGTGTCTGGCTGCTACCTCTGTGCATCAGTGTGTTCTCTGGTTCATTTGTGCTTAGCCCTTGAGATCCCATCATTTAAGTCAAATGTGATCAACCACTTCTTCTGTGATCTGCCTCCTCTCTTGAGTCTTGCTTGCTCTGATGTCACTATTAATAAAGTGCTGCTGTTTGTTGTGGCCACCTTCAATGAGAGCTTTAGTATTGTGGTTATCTTCACCTCCTACTTGTTTATCCTCATCACCATCCTGAGGATGCACTCTGTGGAGGGGAGGCGCAAAGCCTTTTCCACCTGTGCCTCCCACCTCACAGTCATCATTGTCTTCCATGGGACAATCCTTTCCATTTACTGTTCTTCCACTTCAGACAACAGTGGGGATGCTGACAAAGTGGCCACAGTGTTCTACACTGTAGTGATTCCCATGCTGAACCCTTTGATCTACAGCCTCAGAAACAAGGATGTCAAAGGTGCTCTCAGGAAAGTTGTGAACTCTAAGATATATTTCCAATGAACACTGTATTGTCAGGATGCAGAATCAAAGATAGATAATGACACAGAGATTAATAGATGTAACAATGTTTGGCTGGAAAAAGAAATCAGGTACATGGCAGTTATGAGTGATTCTTTTTTCTGTTTAGTATACTGACTCCTAAATTTAAAAGCTTGTAAATTTTAAGATTCCGAAATAATTTTGGTTTCATTATTTGATTTAAATTTGTTGCTTATGTTTCATGTCCTACCACAGCAAATACATTTCATTTTGTGTAAGGCCTTTCCAAATCTAAAAAGAAGGATTTTGCAAAGTTTCTAATTTTATTTCTGTATTCATAATGGACATTTTTATTCATTTCAATATAGAATGTCTATAGTGTACAATGAAATTCATGACATTAACAGATAGGCACAGAGTAAGAATATCATGGTTATTGGCTCAGGATTTTTCTTACTTTGCTAGTCCAGGATCTTAACCTACTTTATTTAAACTTTGGTAATGTTACTACAGTACTCATTGCCTCAGAAATACTGGATAATATGCAATTATTTAAGAAAGTATTTTATTAATATTTATTAATGAAAATAATTATATGATACAAATGTGTCAGTATGTGATCTTAGTGCATAAGTTTATTTTCCACAAAGCATGGAAGAGTCTTGGATTTTCTGAAGCTGAAGTTTCAATATCCTCTATCCTAACAGATGTGAGTACTTAGATTTGAACTCAGGCCCTCTGGAAGACCAGAAATCTGCCTTAAGTACTGAGCTATCTCAAAAGCCCCTTCACAGAATAGAAAGCATGCATTATAAAAACTTTGAATTTCTCAAGTATAACGTTTTAGTCTCTTTACTGACTATTGAGAACTGTCATTGAAGAAAGAATTTCTGAGTTCTCTCTTTTCTTGTTTTATATCCAGTGTACAAGCTAACTCAGCTACTGATAAATTACAGTCACTTCTGTTTATCCTCTATGCTCATGTACACAAATATATAATAATTAAAGTTACATGCATGTATACCAATGTGTCTCATTACTGTCATTCCCTGACTCCCTCAGACCTTATACTCCCTTCTTTCTTTATGTCTCTTTCCCACTTTGTTTTATTTACTGTAAATAAATTTTATTTTATTTTGATTTGTTTTTCGGCTCAAGAAATTTAATTCAGGGCCATCTATGTGATCACAGATTTTAGAATATCCACTGGAGCATAATGCCTCATTAGTAGGTTTGAAATGGTATCTTACTGTCCAAAGGATATCTACAGATACAGGTTGAACTCACACGTTATTAAAATGACACAATACCTTTCATTTCCAATTTTTTTTATGTTTCTTAACCACAATTTTTTTTGGTTTTATCTAAAAGTTCAGTTTGTAACGTATATTCCTTTATTGATGGTCATCTCTGTGCTTGTATTTATAATGTTAGAAAACAATTGAGCTTCTTGAGTTCAGGAAATGCAAGTTACTGTCTTGAATCTAATTTTTCTTTGTCATTGTTTTTTGAATCATTTAATTTTTAAGTTTTGTGCATATTCCCATAATCTGTAGGAACCATATGTGACAGGAAACATACAATATTTGTCTTTGTGGTGCTGACTAAATTACCTTAATATGATTATATAATTTTTCTTACAAATGTCCTAACTTTTACATGAATTCCACTGAAAAACATGCCATCTTTATTCATTCCTCAGCTGTTGGAAACCTAAACTGGTTCTGTATTTGACCTACTTGGATTAGCTCTATAATAAATATTGAGTTTAAAAACTATCTTTGACTTTTTTATATAGTCTAGTAAAACAATTATGTGTTCAGAATGTATTATACAAGAGAAGAATCTATTTTCTATTTTTAAAAAAATGTGAGTTAAATTTTGGCACTTAAGAATATTTACAAGGTCTCATATTTTCTCTGTTAATTATTTTCTGTTATGATTGGATTATTTTTGGTTTATTTTGCTTTTTTCCTTTCACTTTTTGAATTTCTGGATTGTTCAGAGTTGAGACAAGATGGTAATATCTTACATTTTCAGTTTTAGAAACGACCAGTTAAAAGCAAGCATATATGCTATCTAGATGGTTCACTGGATGTATGCATCAGCACACTGTTCAGAAATATGAGTTTGCACTCACAAGGTTCAGGTAGAAATAGACTCTCAGCGTTTTCATTTATGTAAATTACCACACACAGAGAGAAAATGCATACAAACACACACCAGAATACACATACACACTTGCTTACACATGTGCACATGCACATATATCTGCATAAACATACACACCCAAATAAACATGTATACATATTTGAGGATGCCACGCACACACACTCATACATGCAGTTGCATACACATACACATGTGCACATATACACACTTCTGCATATACATACAAACTAGAATACGCATGTACACATGCACACATGCACTCATATCTGCACCTGAATAGACGTACACACCTGCATGCAAATATGAACATGCATACACATACACTACTGCATACAGATGTGCACAGGCAAATACATACATACACACACATAAACAAAAATAAATGATAAACACTATTTAAATGTCGAAATGTATTGTGTTTCATACTCTGATAATACTGAATGCCAACATTCTTGTATAAAGTCCATGACTAAAATTCAGATTTCATTGGTGTTTGTTACACAGTTGCTCTTTGTAATGTTATGAAATATTTGACCTCATGGCATTTACTTTTTAACCATGAGATTAACTGGTCAATGAAAATAAATACTTGGCTACTCCTAAAGTTTATATGAAAATTAGTTCATTTAAATTTCATCACAATCAACCAAAAATATGTAATTGTCTTTATGCTAGTCTTACGAAAAAAAGGAAATGAGAGAAAAATTAGTGGGATAATCGAAATAAGGTGTGAAAGTAGCAAAATGTAAGTTTATGGTCTCCCCACCTGCTAAACAATATGGGTAAAGACACAAGCTCAGGAATATATCATCACTGTGTTCTTCCTTCTAAATTTAGAGTTACATGGTCTTAGATGGAATCATGCCAGTATCTGCCTTCTGCACATGTTCTGGTCTACAATGTTAATATATGCATGTATTATGTTGTATTTTTCTATGTATTGTTAAATGGTTGTAAAAATTTCTCAATATTTCCATGTACCAAAAGCCATGTCCATCAATGTAAATTTTAACATGAAACCACTCCTAAAACCCATCATGAAAACTTCTTTTTGTGACAGACAGAGACTATCTCCCCCAAAACCACAGCTAACACAAAGGAAAGTTGTAGAGCCCAGTATCAATATATACATGTATAAACAACTCTAATTTGGAAGGAAACACTGTGAAAGAGAAAACAGAAAGATTGTACAAGCCAGACAATTTGCGGTTTTATTTGAGATTGTGTCTCCTAGTAAAACCAGAAGCTACACTCATAGCATCTGACCAATTTGACTGCCTAAACAGGAGCTGAACAAGGATAGCCATAAGGAAGATGTGGGTGGGGGCACATCCTCATAGAAGCAGGAGGAGGGGGCTGGGATAGGGGGTTTCTGGGTGGGGGGGAATAGGGAAAGGGGGTAACATCTGAAATGTAAATAAAATATCCAATAAAAAATGAGGAGCATGTTAATGTGGATAGGAGAAAACCCATGCAGTATCAATCCCACACAAAGAACTGATTATAGGCAAGTATGGACTGCCCAAAGTAGGAGGTGTAGTCTTCTCTAAGGAAGTATAATCTTCTTTAAGGAAGAACACACCAACTGGTTATCTAATACCCAATGGTCATCCCTGAAAACATATAAACAAGTAACATTATACAGACCGAGCAGGATATATTTAGAAATATATGCCTATACATGTATGTGCATGTAACAAATATTAATGAAAATGAGGCCATGAATTAGGAAGAAATAAAGGAATGGTATATGATAGGCTTTGGAAGGAGGCATGAGAAAAAATGATATAATGATAGTGTAAAAAAATAATGTATATTCTGGTTTTGGAAAGCTTAATGGTGATTTTCCAGCTCTTTAATGTACATTAACTTTATGTAAATATATTCCATCAAAAAAATCTCTGCTACTTATTCAGCTGGAACTATGGGTCCCTCCATGTGTATTCTTTGGTTTGTGGTTTAGTCCCTGAGAGCTCTGGGGTGTCTGATTGGTTGATATTGTTGTTCTTCCTATGGGGTTCCAAACCCCTTCATCTCCTTCCGGACGTTCTCTAACTCCTCCATTGGTAACATCGTTCTCAGTCCAATGGTTGGCTGCAAGCATCTGCCTCTGTGTTTGAGAGGAGAGGCCCTAGGTCCTGTGAAGGCTTGATGCCCCAGTGTAGGGGAATGCTAGGGCAGGGAGGTGAGAGAGAATAGGTGAGCAGATGGAGGAACATCCTTATAGAAGCTAGTGCAGAGAGATGAGTTATAGTATTTCTGGAGGGAAAACTAGGAAAGGTGATAACATTTAAAATGTAAATAAACAAACTGTCTAATTAAAAAAAGAAAGAAAAAGTATCAAAAAATTAAAAACAAAACCAAAACTAAACATCTGAAGGAAGTTTATCAAGCTCCTTCCACAGCTCCCAGCTTCCCTCCATATATAGGCAAATGCCCAACAAACTCTATTCTACAATATACATACACGCATTTGCATATTTATTAGCACACTGCTCCCATCAAATGGAACAAGAATCAGCATATATTTCTAATAACAGATGAGTACATACAAGTTACTTATAGAGCATAAAATTACATTTACTGACCTTCATACCTGCAAGTAATTAAAATGGTATAAAGGCAAAAAGGAGGAGGAAGGTGGAATAGGGGAGTTCTAGGGAGAGGAATAGGGAAAGGGGATGACGTCTGAAATGTAGATAAATAAAATATCCAATAAAAAAAGTATAATTATATTCCTTGTGTGAAAGTAGATAAAACTGGAGATGATATTAATGTCTTAAGTACACACTCTGGATATTTCTCTCACATGTACATCCTGGATTTGAATATTTATAATATCAACATCT